CCCCACCATCCACAAACCAAGCCAGCCAGGACTGGCCGTGCTGCTGGGAAGAGACCCAGCACCGCCCAGCGACCCCCTTCTCGTGACCCAAGAGAAAAACCCTGAGGACCCGGGGCAAGGGAAGGACACAGATTTAAATCCATGCTGAACGCGGACAAGGACACATGATTAAACAGATGTGGGGAACAGACAAGGGGGCCAAGGCGACGTGGATGCAACAGGCAGACGCAGCGCAGCCCCACCAACACCCAAGAGCAAGGCAGGCATGGAGCTGGAGCGCGGTGGGGAAGACAAAGCCCTCCGGAGCCTGCTGGCGCGGCAGGGACGGTGGAGGGGGGCAATGGGTCCGCCTTCCCGCTAGGACCAAGGTGGTGTATCTGCAGGGCAAGAGCAAGGCTGGAGCCCGCAGGAGTCTGGCCGCGTGCTGCCAGCCAGTGAGAGAACGACCCACGGCACGGGCACAGGCAAATTTGGGATTTGGCTCTTTGGGAAGCACCCGCCGAGTCAAAACTTAGAGCAAACAATCTGCAAAGGACCAGGGCAGAGGGGGACAGTTCAGGCACGGGGCCACTGCTTCAACCCAGCCCAACCTCCCTGCAGTGAAGGGTTTATGAGCGGCTCCCAAGCGCAGCAGTTCCCAGGACCAGGTCCCTGCTGTGCTTCGCCCCGTGATGCTGCTCACCCCTCCCACTCGCGTTTCGCTTTTTTAAAACCTCCGTACCGCAGCCCTGTCCCCCAAACACAGCGGCACACGCCGGCCTGGCGGAAGCAGCTCCGCTGCCCACGGTTTGGCTGTGAGGACGCAAGGAGCTGGGCATGAAGCAAATCCATTCGCTCGTTGGAAAGCCAAATTCCCACTCTTGTCTCGGGGAGCGAGCGCGCAGTCAGCGAGAGCACAGGGAGGTGCCAGGCCTGCTGGAGAACGCTGCCCTGACATTTCTCGCCCTGCTTTAGCAAGCAAACCTGCGGCGACGCAGCACACGACGTTCCTTCGCAGCCTGAACCTCAGCCTGTGAGATTTCCCACACAGCCCCGGGTACCTGCAGATGTCAACGGGAGGTTTGGCACCAATTTCGATGTGGGCGGCTATAATGAGGACCTCCTGAGCGAGGACCTTAGGCTGTGCTAGAATCGAGACCTGCTTGGATTCCTGGCCCTTCTCCATCTCGTAGGCAGGGAAACCAAGGCAGAGAGCAAAAATGCTCATTCTGCACCCTGGTTCAAGGGCACGAGCCCCCCCCCCACCTGCTGCCGAGCTGTGCCGGGACCTAACCGAGCCATGGGGATGCTGAGCTCTCCCGCAAGCCTTGCCTGCGGATGGCTGCGGGGAAGAGGCTCTCAGGCGGCTCTGTAACCCATCACACCCCATCGCTCTGCGCCCATGACACCCAGCGGGCCCCAGCACCAGCTCCACGGGGACACGGGGGAGCGTTCTTAGAGAAAGAACCCCATCTGAGCACAGGCAGCTCCTCGGTGCTTCCAAAAGGCACAGGGTGCTTCGCTGGACGCTGGGGAGGGGAGCAGCAATCCCTGCAGAGCCCCTGCCCACCGGACGTGCACGGACAAGCGGGACACACGCTACGGAGAGCAAGGGGACAAGCATCCATCACAGTCCCAGGCAGGCAGAAGTCTCTGGGAAAGAGGAGGTGGGGAAGAAAGGGGGGTTTTTTGGGGGCAGGAGGAGAGGTAAGAGCAACCAGGAGCAGTCCAGACTGATGTATCAGCCGAAGAGGGGCTTGCTAAGGACTGGGGGGGCTCACGGCACCCACCTCTGCTCCCACTCTCATTTGCCTCGAAGGGTCAAGCCACAGCAAGCATCGGACAAGACCCCACTGCACTGCAAGGCATTTCCATTCCGGCAGGAAGTGTTTGGGGCGAGGGATGGGAGCACAACCAGGGCAACCTCTCCATCCCGGGGGGCTCTCAAGCAAAACTAGAGAGGAGGGGAGCAGTGAGAAGAGGCCAGGGCTGTCACTGGCTACGGAGAAGGAGAGAAAGCCGACCTCCTAGCAGAGATGTCCGGGTAGGGAGCAGAAGGGTGCTGCAAGGACACAATTCCTTCCTCCAAACAGGCAACACTGTAAAACACAAGACACAGACGAAAAAGAGGAGAGAGAGAGAGAGCAGAGGGAGAAAGGCGGGGGGGGGGAGAGCAGAGAGGCAGGGAGGGACAGACAGATGCAACTACAGACACCTTCCCGCCACCTCCTGTCCACATCAGTCTCATCCCATCCCTTCTTTCTCACCTGCCCCATCACGGTGTAAAAGTAATGAAGTATTAAAAAACAAGGCCTGGGCTGTTTTGCTTGGCTTTGCCTCCTCCGCGTTGCTGCTGGAAAAGGCAGCCGCAGAGCTGAGTTCGATAGAGGGGTACGTGTGAGGGATTAAAACACTGCGACCATCCCGACGGCCCATCTCCTGCCCTCCCCTTCCCCGGCTCCGTGCATCCCTGCACCCGCACGGCACAGAGGCGTGGGTGGCCTGGCCACGGTCCCCACCCCGGGGCTGGGTGCAGGCAGAGCCTGCAGCTCCCCCAGCCCCCGGTGTCACCCCCTGCCCAGCACCCCACGAGTCCCAGGCTGTGCTGGTGGACTGCACCCTGCATCCCAAGGAAAGCTCGGCCAGGAGAGAAGCCAGTGCCACCATAGAATCATAGAATCACTTTGGTTGGAAAAGACCTTTAAGATCATCACGTCCAACCTTTAACCTAACCCTACCATCCCACCACTAAACCCTGTCCCTAAGCACCTCATCCATCCTTCTTTTAAATCCCTCCAGCGACAGGGACTCAACCACCTTCCTGGGCAGCCCATTCCAGAGCCTGACAACCCTTTCGGTGAAGAAGTTTTTCCTAAGAAGAAGATTTTCCAGCAGTGCTCACGCTGGGAAGACCTGCCTGGACACATGGGTGGGCAAGCAACATCAACACCCCATCCCCATTTCTAAATCCGTTGCCCATCCAGCATCGAGTCTGAACCAGTGACACAGAGAAGGACGTGCTCCCTTCCCGAAGGGCAGCACGGAGCTCAGGGAGAAGACACTTTCCTGAGCTGATGGGGAGGCTGAAGGCTTGCCCACACTCATGGTAGCTCGCTACAGGGCAGCCTCCTGTCATGTGGATTTTTCTGATCCTAGGCTTTGGCAGACTGATCTGATTTCCTTTGCTTTCCTTCCTCCGGAGGACAGGCTTTGCTTGCTCCTACCTGTGCAACATGCTCTAGGAGAACCTGCTTTAGCAGGGGGGTTGGACTGGGTGAGCTCCCGAGGTCCCTTCCAACCCCTGCCATTCTGGGATTCTGTGTGATTCTGTGATACCCCGCAAGGACGCAGCCCCTGCAGGCAGATGCAGAAGGACCATCTCCTACTGCCCCCCGGCCTCACCCCGCTGAACGTGGTGGCAGCGCGCTACCTAGCAGTGCGCGTCACGCTCGCCCTAGAAATTTGGGAAGCCTTAGCAAGGGCCTGACTCTAAAGCAGGTACAGGGACGGGTTTGCAGAGAGCCACCCATCTGCAAACGCCCACCTCCTGGCCCCACCACCCCGGGACCTCACTGCCACCTCGCTTCGCCCGCAGCCCCCCCTGTGCCGGGGCATCCTGCCTTGCCGGAGCAGCCCCGTGCCCTCCCTCGCCGGCCCCAGAGCCGCTCACACCTCCAGCAAAGCCCCGCAGCCGCACAGCGGGGCGGGGGAACGAGCACCAGACCCGCCGGCGCGCGTGGCTTCCCATCAGGGCTGGCTGGTTGCCATCCAGCACCAACCCCCCATGGCCTGGGGAGATGGAAGGGTGCCCCTCCCTAGAGGGAGAACTTGGGGAACCGACTCCTGATCAGCCAACCACAGTGAAAGGGGCCATTAAAAATAACGGTTGTGATTATATTGAGGGTTATTGTGGGAGCCTGACAAACAGTTTTAATGCTGCCAGGCCCAGCCGCCTGAAAAGCGGGAGCACAAAGCCAACCAAACAGATCCGCAACGCGGGGCCTCGTTTCCAAGCACTTCAGAAGGTTTGATACAGCTGGTACCTTACAAAGCACCAGCTTAAAATAATAGGACCTGATTCTAGATCTAGTAAAAACCAATTCGAGCTGAAATGAAGAGTCCTTCCCATTCACCGAAATCAATCCAGTGACCAGTTTTTGACCTCCTTCGTTTTCTGTGCGGTAATTTTAAAATGGGACATTCCCAACATCCTAGGGACCCAAAGCCCCATCCTATCACATACGCCTGAAAAAAACACCCATCAGAAAGGTCAAAAGCTTCTCCCCGAGATGAGAGAAAGACATGGCGAGCCCTCCAGGGAGCGGGCGCGCTGGGAAGAGTTCCTTACGGAGCGTACCTGGAGCTGAGAGAGGCAGGCAGGCATGGAGGGGGAAGCATGGAAGGAGCGGGGGGACTGGCACTACCCTGGGAGGAGAAATGAATGGCATGGGCTGCACATGGAACCGGGTGGTGGCGAATGTGCCCCTGGCCGTGGCGATGAATGAGAGAAACCAGCTGGACACCACCGGCACTTCGGTACGGTTTAAAGACAAATGATCCTTCCCCGTGTTCCCGAGCACATCGGACAGAGACAAGACCAAGGAGGAACGCATGCACACGCACACACAGGGGCTGCTGGAAGGAGAAAGAACGGGGAGGAACAGATATTCAGGGCTTCGTCGGCCGCAGGACTGATCAGAGGGAGCCTGTGGCTTGCTCGGGCGGTGGGCACCCAGTCACGACTTACCTGCTGCTTTCCAGCACCAATTTAACCAGCCCGGCGGCCCCAGCGCTTACCACAGGGTCCACTGTGCTTTACTGGGATGGCAGCCTTCTGGTGGCACTCGGCCTTCTGGCGCTCGCAGTCGTTGCTGTAGGTGCGGCTGTAGCGGGCACAGACGGGCCGGTAGGCGCCGTCGCAGGCAATGCGGTCACAGGAGCAGCGAGCGGCGCCCCGGCGGTTCAGGCAGACGGCGTTGAACTTGCACTCGTCCTTGCATTTGTCTGGGAGGAGAGAGGATGGCACCGCTCGCACCCACCCCGGGGACAGGGGAAGGGGGTGCGCTCTCGTTGCCAAGAGCAGGGCACGGAGGAGCGGGGAAGGTCAGGAATGCGAATGCTCCTGTTCCCCAGGACGCAGAGAGGTACTTACCCTGATGCTGGCACTGCCCTGAACGCACCTTCTGGATCTCCAGTCCCCGGATGGCCCCCGAGCGCCCCATCACGCACTCGTTGTCGTACGTCACCCCGTCGTCGCCGCACACAAGCTCCCGCTTCGGGGGACAGTTCTCGGGGCGGGCCAGCAAGTCCGCCCTCCGGGTGCGGGGGTTCACCCGGCAAACGCGATTCATGTCGTTGAGGACGCCTTTACACGGGTCTGCGCACGGAGCCAGAGCAGGAATTTAGGCACACTCACGCCCTGCCCAGAGGGGTGCTCCCTGGCCTGCCCCCCTCCCTCCCAGCTGGCCCCGGGAGCCTCCACGCCTTCCCCAGTAGCACCCAGTACATGAGGAGACCTCATCAACACAAATATCTTAAGAGTGGGTGTCACGAGGACGGAGCCAGACTCTTCCCAGTGGTGCCCAGCGACAGGACAAGGGGCAATGGGCACAAACTGAAACAGAAGAGGTTTCAGTTGAATATAAGGAAAAACTTCTTGACTCTGACGGTGCCCGAGCCCTGGCCCAGCCTGCCCAGGGGGGCTGTGGAGTCTCCTTCTCTGGAGATATTCAACCCCCGCCTGGACGCTGTCCTGTGCCCCCTGCTCTGGATGAGCCTGCTTGAGCAGGGGGGTGGGACTGGGTGATCTCCCGAGGTCCCTTCCAACCCCTGCCAGTCTGGGATTCTGTGATTCCTCGGGACTGGACATCTGTAGGGCTCTGCCCGCATAAGGACTCATTTTTTACTGGGCTGCACACACTGAGGACACGCGCCCTTTCCAAAGTGACCCCTTGGGATGAGCCCTGCCTTTTTTCCCCATCCTGAGCTGCCTTCACCCCCCTCTGTCCAGGGGACAGGGCGCTCTCCCCTGACCCAGGCGAACCTCCCGAGTCCAAGGGGCGTTCACTGGGCATCGCAAGCTGCTTGGCACTCCCATCCTGCTCCTCCAACCCTCCCTCCCTGACTTTCCGAAGTGCTGGAAGAGCCCTGAAGGCAGCCAGGGCCACCGACTGCCTTGCCCCACTGCTCTAATCTAGGCTTATCCTGGATCACCCTCCCTGATGAGCTGAGCTCACATTAGCATACCAAAGACATGGGCAAAACAGGAGCTGACTGTTGGCTAATCCCTGCTCTAGCCCTGGGTTTTTCTCTTCCTTGTCAAGCTCCGTACCTGGCGAGCGCCGATTCATTTTCCGCAATTGCAGAAACACAATCGAATGTTTCCACCCTTTAATCCTACTGCTCTGAAATCCCCGCACTGACTTCAGTCCCAGGCTGACAAGGGGAGGAAAAAACGCAGTACCCTGTTCCCCCAGCCCCTCGCAAGCAGGGGAGGGACCTCCCTTTCGGCTGCCCCCACATCCCTTGCAGAATCATAGAATCATCTAGGTTGGAAAAGACCTTTAAGATCACCAAGTCCAAGGCCGACCCCCGGGCAGGGCCATGGCTGAGATCTTTTGCTTTGTCCGTTTTAGCCCATGCAGTAATCACGGCAGCAAAGCCGATGCAGGAGCTCCCTCAGGACCTACCCAATCCATCTCCCAGTTCCCCTCCGGCAAGAGCTGCCCCCGCTTGCTGCTGCCCTGCAGTCACCCCAGCAGACAGCCGGGGATGCGTTACCTCCTCGGGAGCCCCTACAAACCCTGACAAAAATCACAAGAACATCTTGTGCGGACTCAAGGAGCCGTGGGTACAAGGCTGCCGTAGCGGGGCAGGGGTGGGGTACAGATAAGGAGATGGAGACCGCGGCGGCGGGGTTGGGGATGAGGCAGCTGCACAGGCGTAGCTCAGGGACTGCAGGATGAGATTGTATTTCAGATGCAATCTGCCTGCACTTCTCACTCCCACCTCGCAGAGCATCCTCAAGCCTTACAGCGTACCTAACAGAGTCCAAACGCCTTCGAGTATTTTCAGGTTTCTATAGCCTGGCTGCTCAACCCAGACTGCCTGAGTTTCTGCTGATGCCCAGCTAAAACTGGGAGGACCTCAGAGGAACAGCGAGGCTCAAAGCCTCCTCTCTGCCCCAGAAACCAGGAGCACCCAGCGTGACATCACCTCCTTCGCGCGTCCTGCTTGCGCCCGTCTCGCCCTACTTGGGGCTGAGCAGGGAAAAGGGTAATTAAAGCTCTCCCAGGTTTGCAGCCTGCCCAAACACACTCCCACGCTCCTTCCCCCAGGGACAAACACTGGTCTGGCACGTGTCCTGGCCGATCTCACGGCTTTCCTAATGAACACAGTTCCTTTTAAATACCAGTATCCACAGCCACCATTAGCCAAAGAGGAAGCCATCCTCGGAGTGTGGCAGGACTCTGGGATCGGTGCCTGCCGGGCTCCTTTAATTAAAGGGAGCTGCTTGCCGGTGAGCCTCGGGACGCCGGCTCCTTGCCAAAAGCGGCAGCCGGGGGACTCCAGCCAGGGCAAACAGCAGGAGGGAAAGGAGATGGCACAGATGTTGCCACCGCTCTCTAGGTCAGTGGGTCCCCAGCAGAGATGCCCACAGCCAAATGCCAGGGGGGAAGCGCTGGCTGGGTCTGAATTTCAGAAGCCGTCACCCCCAGACTTGACCTTTTCATGCTTTTTTGAGTTGATGACAGCAGGCGTGCGGGCAGGTTTTTCTCCCCAGCCCTTGCCATTTCCCACCGGTCTGCCCTCGATATTCCCGACGGACGAGGCAACGTTTTGAAAGCGATAAGCCCAGGGGCGCGGGGGACTCACCACAGGCGCCATCGAACTTCTTGAAAACGTTCTCCTGCTTGTCGCAGGCGTGCTTGTTGAGGTCGCACTCGCGGACGCAGGTGCTGCCGAAACTGCAGGTCACCTCTGCGCAGGGGTCCTTGGAGCCTGCGGGAGAGCTGGGGGGGCACGGCACAGGCGTGAGCACAGCAGCCCGCGCTCCCCGGCCGCCCTCTCCCGCTCGGACAAATAAGCCCAACACACCACAACATCTACCTAGGAAGCCCCGGTCCCTCCGAGTGCCCAGAAACACCCATGACGGCGATGGATCTCCTTCCCTCGGCTTCAGCAGATGCTGGAGCCAGTGCCGTGTACCCGGTCCCACGGCAGCGAGCTCACCCACCCCGACATCCGCAGCAGCAGGCAGGACCGTGAGGCCGGAGGATCAGCCCCTACCCCACGGCACGCAAGGACGGGAGCTCAGCCCCCAGCTGGCACTTCAGGCAGAGCCTCTCCTTTCCAAACCTCCCAGCCTCGCTGCTGCCAGCTCCCGTCCCTGCACATGCTCTCAGAGATCCCCTCGCTTCAGCAAAACGAGCAAAACGAGGGTCCTCAAGGCACCTCCTGCAAACCGTAATTAGAGGAAGAGCTCAAGGAGCAATTTCCTCACTGATGGGGAAGGGCCAAAATTTATTTGCCAGCTTTTTTTTTTTTTTGCCTTTTTTGCCTTTATTTGTCACTTTTTTTTAAATGATTATTATTTTAAATAAATCACTGTGCTCTCTCTCCCCTCTGACGAGAGCCCCAGCAGGAGTGCTGGGTGCAGCGTTATTGCAAGCCCGAGCGCTGCAGGAGAGAAAGGTCAAGTTAATTTACTCTGAGATGAGGAGACTGGGGGGCTCATTTGCACAGCTCCTTGCTCGCAGCTGGTGAATGCCAGGCTGGGGAAGGGCTTTCATCAGCCCATCCAGCCTGTGCATACGCCTGGTCCCTCCAACTTCCAGCTGTGGCAGATGTGCCCGGCTCTGGGTTCGCAGCGGGGTGCAGCGGGCAGAGCTGCTGGAGCCAGAAGGTTGCTCCCTGCTGCCTGCCAGGCGCCTCTCAACCAGCCTTTGGCTATGGTTTGCTTGCTTCTCCAGCTCTGCCCATCACCAGGGCAGAGCTGGCGATTCCCTCGCAGTGTCCCTTCCCACCAGACCCGTCCCCATCCCCCAGGACATCACCAGCACCGCAGGGACGACACGAGCTTGGGCCAAGCCCCGAAAGCAAGAGAGCCTGCCCTTGCACTCACCACACGGTCCCTTGCTGATGACTTTGATCCGCCTCTGCTGGTTGCACTGGGCCTTCTCCAGCTCACACTCGTTGCTGTAGGTGGAGTAATCGGAGCCGCAGACAGGAGCCACCACCACGGGGCAAGCTGTCTTCTTGCAGACGCAGGAGGCCTGGGAGGGGTCGGTGGAGCTCCTCTCGCACACCGCCCCGAACCCGCACAGCATCCCCCGGCACGCTGCGGGCACGGAGACGGAGAGAGCGATGAGCCACGGCAGCTCCTTTGCAAACAGGAGGGGTGCAGAGCAGCGCCCGCGCCTCTCCCATCGCCCCCGGCAGAGCTGCTCGCACCACCCAGGCTCAGGGAGGGGCTGCAGCCCTTTGGGGGGACTGGGACTGCAAGGGCAGGGCCAGCAAGAGGAGGATGCTCTGGGCACAGCAAGGTCCTTGCCCAGTTTAGGGCAAGGATGTCATCACCTCGGCATGCCACCTCTCCAGGGGTGAGGTCACAGAATCATAGAATGGTTTGGGCTGGAAGGGACCCCCAGAGGTCACCCAGCCCAACCCCCCTGCAGGAGCAGGGACACCTTTAACCAGATCAGGTTGCTCACAGCCCCGGCCAACCTGGCCTCGAATGTTCCCAGGGATGGGGCCTCCACCCCCTCTCTGGGCAACCCCTGCCAGGGTTTCACCACCCTCACTGGAAAGAATTTCTTCCTTAGATCTAGTCTAAACCTACCCTGCTTCAGTTTAAAACCATCACCCCTTGTCCTGTTACAGCTGGCCCTACTAAAAAGCTTGTCCCCCCCTTTCCTCTGGGCCCCCTTGAAGCCCTGACCGGCTGCACTCAGCTCTGCCCGCAGCCTTCTCTTCTCCAGGCTGAACACCCCCAACTCTCCCAGCCTGGCCCCATAGCAGAGGGGCTCCAGCCCTCGGATCATTTTAGTAGCCCTCCCCTGGCCCTGCTCCAACAGCTCCATGTCCTCCTGGTGCTGAGGGCTCCAGAGCTGGACGCAGGGCTCCAGGGGAGGTCTCCCCAGAGTGGAGCAGAGGGGCAGAATCCCCTCCCTCGACACTGGCCATGCTTCTCCTGATGCAGCCCAGAGTACGGTTGGCCTTCTGGGCTGCCAGTGCACATTGCCGGCTCATGTCCAGCTTTTCATCCACCAGCACCTGGTCCTTCTCCAGGGATGCCTAGGGTGCACCTGAGGTGTTGGGGGACCGAGCCAACCTTGCCAGAGCCACCCACCCCAAAGCCACATGCTTGAGAACACGGTTCTGCCCAGCGCAGCCAAGGAATGGCACAAGGCAGCCAGGCCAGGGCTGCTGTGCCCCGAGCCCCCATCTCCTGCCTGCAACCGGAGCATCAAGCAATGGCACAGGTAACCACCAACCATCACGACGGCGCCGTGCGGAGCAGGCAGCACGGAGGCCCCGGGGAAGGGCAGCCCGGAGAGCGGGGTCGGTAAAGCCTGCGACCCAGCGAAAGCTTCCTCTGAAGGGAGCTTGTCCAGGTCGGCAGCGCTGTCCGACCACGCTGGATCTCCCGCAGCCTCTCCTGAGCCCTGCTGCCCTTCGAGAGCGGCCGGGGAGGGCAGGAATGTGCCAGGCACCTTCATTCCACACAAGGACAGGGAGGGAAGAAGCTGGGGTACGGCATGGTCCAAAAGGAGCTACCAGACCCATGGTCAGCCCTCTTGCCTCCTCTGTGCCCTGTCTCATCCCAGGCTTCCCGTTCTGCTTATCACCAGCGTGAACTGGAGAAAGAAAGGTCTGTGGCCAGCTCTGCACCATGGCAGGGAGGTCATGAGCAGGGAGGTGCCTCCAGCTCCACTACAGACATGGGGGAGCATCCCCAGGAAAGCACTCAGGGCCCCTCTGCCCAAGCCTCTGCAAGTCCTCCACAACGCAACGTGGTTTCTGCAACCCAGCAAGGGAGAGGGAAGTCAAGAAATGGAGAAGAAAAGATCCTCACCCATCCCAGAGTGGGACAGATCGTCCCCCACGCGCACACCACTTTATTCACTGCGTTCATGCAAAGCAGCCGAACCACGTGGCTGGTGCCTCTCGAAAAAGGAGATGCACAAATCTCTTTATCGCATCCACTAATCAGAGCAGCCAGCACAGCCCAGTTCAGCATCTGAATTGCTAATGGGGTAGGAAACGTAATTCTTCACTTGCGGGGAGGAAGGGAGAGGAGAGGCGTCCCCAGACCCAGGGGTCTGCAGGTGAGACAGTGAGAGATGCTGGAGCCTTCTGCCCAGCGGATGCTGCCACGGGCACAGCCCTACGCCCGCAACCCTATGCCTGCAACAGTTGGACACTGCCATGGGCACAGCCCTATGCTCGCAATGGGTGGACGCTGCCACGGGCACAGCCTGACGCCCACAATGGTCAAATGCTGCCACGGGCACAGCCCTACGCCCGCAACCCTATGCCTGCAACAGTTGGACACTGCCATGGGCACAGCCCTATGCTCGCAATGGGTGGATGCTGCCACGGGCACAGCCTGACGCCCACAATGGTCAAATGCTGCCACGGGCACAGCCCTACACCCGTAACGGGTGGACGCTGCCACGGGCACAGCCCTACACCCATAACGGGTGGACACTGCCACGGGCCCAGCCCTACCCCCGTAACGGGTGGACGCTGCCACGGGCACAGCCCTACACCCATAACGGGTGGACACTGCCACGGGCCCAGCCCTACCCCCGTAACGGGTGGACGCTGCCACGGGCACAGCCCTACACCCATAACGGGTGGACACTGCCACGGGCCCAGCCCTACCCCCGTAACGGGTGGACGCTGCCACGGGCACAGCCCTACACCCATAACGGGTGGACACTGCCACGGGCCCAGCCCTACCCCCGTAACGGGTGGACGCTGCCACGGGCACAGCCCTACACCCATAACGGGTGGACACTGCCACGGGCCCAGCCCTACCCCCGTAACGGGTGGACGCTGCCACGGGCACAGCCCTACACCCATAACGGGTGGACACTGCCACGGGCCCAGCCCTACCCCCGTAACGGGTGGACGCTGCCACGGGCACAGCCCTACACCCATAACGGGTGGACACTGCCACGGGCCCAGCCCTACCCCCGTAACGGGTGGACGCTGCCACGGGCACAGCCCTACACCCATAACGGGTGGACACTGCCACGGGCCCAGCCCTACCCCCGTAACGGGTGGACGCTGCCACGGGCACAGCCCTACACCCATAACGGGTGGACACTGCCACGGGCCCAGCCCTACCCCCGTAACGGGTGGACGCTGCCACGGGCACAGCCCTACACCCATAACGGGTGGACACTGCCACGGGCCCAGCCCTACCCCCGTAACGGGTGGACGCTGCCACGGGCACAGCCCTACACCCATAACGGGTGGACGCTGCCATGGGCACAGCCCTACACCCATAATGGGTGGATGCTGCCATGGGCACAGCCCTACACCCATAACGGGTGGATGCTTCCACGGGCACAGCCCTATGCTCACAACCCTATGCCCGCAACAGTTGGACGCTGCCATGGGCACAGCCCAACACCCGCAATGGTCAAATGCTGCCATGGGCACAGCCCAACGCCTGCAATGGTCAAATGTTGTCACGGGCACAGCCCTACGCCCGCAACGATTGGACGCTGCCACGGGCACAGCCCTACACCCATAACTGTTGGATGCTGCCAGGGGCACAGCCCTACACCCATAATGGGTGGATGCTGCCATGGGCACAGCCCTACACCCATAATGGGTGGACGCTTCCACGGGCACAGCCCCACGCTCGCAACCCTATGCCCGCAAAAG